CAATAATTGTCTAATGTTAAAGTTAATGTTAACCTTCAGTTTTTACTTATTTATTGTGAATTATGTGAAAATTTCAAAAACTTGAAATTGATAGAAAAAAACTAACCGTGATTGTATCTTGTCTAATTTAAAATCTTCAATTGTTACAATGTACTTACATATATAATAATTCTCCTTGTGTTTAGAATATTTGTATACTTGTTGATCTTATAAATATTTTAAGCCTGTGTTAAAAGAATATTTTTTTCAATTGATCTCGTTTATTGACTTTGAATAAATATAATGTACAGTAGGAAACTAATTAGGTAGCTAATAATATCATGTATATATTTAGAAAACTAATTATAAATTAAATATATGTTTACTTAAAATATAATAACAAAATATATTTATATATAAAAATACTTGATCTGTCCGATAACATTGTTAGGGTTAATTTTCATGTCCTATTATCTATTTTTAAGCTTTAGTTTATCACCGTTTTATTCTTAAAATGTATGATAGTAGATTAAGAGAAGATAATATATATAAACTACTTTTATCTCAAATATTAAACAACGTGAGACTCATAAATCATAAATGCACCAAAATATATATTTTTCAATCAATGATTAAGGAGTACGAGTGAGACGAGACTATGTTCTTGACCAACAATAAATGTTAATGTCTGTTATGATAACATTAGTAGAGTCAACTATTGTAAAAAAATATTCGTTAATAATTAATAACTTGATATTTAAACTTTTTAAATGAGATGATATTTTAATTTAAATAGGGAATTGAAGATATTGTAAAATAGGTTAAAGTGAATGAGATAGGAGTGACCTAAAGAGATGGTTTGTGATAATGGAGATACTTTAGTTACAAATCTATGGTTTGTTTTGCATTACCAGGTGGTTGGAAGATGAGGTTGATTGGTTGCAGATGTAAAAGGTAATGAGTATTGGCCATACATATACATGCATTGTCTCTTCCCCACATTTAATAGGAAATTATTTGTTTCATATCTTTCCATCCTGTAACAACATACACTTTCCTTATCTTATGACTTCTAACCTATTGTTTGGTACTTGTCTTCTCTCTTCCTAGTTTATGATGTTAACCAAATCATTTCACCAAAACCAATTTTTAATTAATGATTGTCAAGTACAACATATTATTATAACACTCATATAAAATGTAGACATTATTAAAGAACTAATATATGTAATCATGTTATGCCATTAAAGATTGAATTTTCGAATTCATGTATAAATAAAAAATATATATATTAATTAGTTAAGATTCAACGTAGATTATAATATTTTGTTTTCAACCCATAATTAATTAAAGAAAATAAAAATATTTTTAAATTCACAGTGGAAGAAGGTCCAATAGTTAGGTTGGGTCCACCTTGATTAGAATCTATAGTTTTCTCCAATAATGTATTCATGTGATGAACCTCGTTTCAAGAGAGACAAATCTTTTAGTTCCTTGTGGTTTTTGATTCTGTAATAGGTTTGTAGCAGCAACCAAACAAAAATTAAATAAAAAATGAAAAATAAATTATATAGAATCTTAGGATGAACAAATATTTAAAATTAGCAAAGAAAATAATATGCATGCAATTTTGCTTTAGTAAAGGTTGTCGCTATAATCTTTACGACGATTAGTGACGAAAAAGTAACTTTCATTTCTTCACTAAATTTTCTTATTGTAGTTAAAGTTGCAAAAATAATAGAACTAGTGTCAATTTTGAACACTTTTGCTACCCTGCACTTTATTTATTATTATTATTATTATTATTATTATTATTGTATATAGAATATTTTTTTTCTTACATATATCCTACCTATTTTTGGCAAGGGTCAATCAAATATTTCAAGAGTCCAAATATTTTATAGATACGTAACATAGTAATAAATGGGTATTTATTAGAGAAAAAGAGAAGAAAAAAAGAAATGTGTAATTGGTGTAATGAGAACATTGAATTTTATTAATGAAAGATATATTATTTAATATCATTTCCTTTTATTGAGAAATTTATAAGCTTTTTTTTTTTTTTTTTTAAGTTTGTGGTAGCAGTGGATGTTTATCTTCTATTGAATGGTATTTATTGTTTAGATAAAGATGAAGATAGAATATCTTAATGTCTAAGCTATGCAAATTCCAACCCATACAACTTCAGTAATTTCTTAATATATATAAAATTTTTACCAACATAATTCAAATATAAGTTATTTAGTAAAATAATTTTTTTCTAATTTCAATTGAATTTGGTATAATAAAATAAGCTATTTTTTTAAAACTATAGTTTAATTATAATTATTTCTCAACCATATTTTTCATTCTAATTAATTAATACTATTTTTTTTTATGTAAAATCTGATTTGTCTTCCTTTCAAATGAAATTAAATCTTAAAATCATATATACTTAATTTATCTAAATACTAACTAATTATGAATATAGTTGATTTTAACAATATTAAAATAATATACTTTTTATATCAATCTCAAACACAATATAGGTAAATATGAAGGACTTTTTTTGTTTTCACATGTAGTAGCAGGTTTTTGTTTTGTTTTTTATTGCACGTAATTTATGTAATTTTGAGTGGATCAAATATTTGGATAAGGTGGAGATGATCAAACATGTTACTCAACGTTTGTTGTTATTACTTCCCATGAAAAGATCGTGTGCTTCTGGGATAAATATCCAATTTCACTATTAAATAATAAAAAGTATTGCTTCCATGTTGGAGATATTTACTTCTTTTTTTCTTTTTGTTTATCTTCAAAAACAAAATAATTTCACTTTTATCCATTTAATTTCCAAGTTATACGATAAATCACTTTGCTTAAATTAACAATTCAATGTTATTATGATAATAGAAAAAAAAAAAAGCAATTCAAGGTTGTCATAGTAATTACCACCGAAAAATAAGCATATTTAACGTATTTTGTTATTATTATTGAAAGATAATAATAATAATAATAATAATAATAATAATAATAATAATAATAATAATAAGCATATTTAACGTATTTTGTTATTATTATTGAAAGGATAAGCATGTTATATTTAATTATCTATTAAAAAATAAACAACGTTTGGTGTTATTATTATTGTTATTAATATAAATTATTATTAAAATAAGAGGAAGATAATGATAAGAGATAAAGAAATTATATCCAATTATTTAGAAAAATAGACATAATTTGCGCATGTTATTATTATTTAGAGAGAAAAAAATGAATAATAAGTTAACAAATAATACTAAAAGGAGATTGAACGAAATTCTTGTTAGTATATAAATAAATAAAATATTTTAAAAATATGTTTTATTTTTTATAATTGACTTTCATTTTAAGTAGATATCTTTGTATTATAATTAAAATGCAATCTTACGTTTATTTATACAAATTATATTTAATAATAATATTATATATTTATTTTAATACTAATATATATGGATTTATTTAAGAAGAAAGATCAAAGTTATTTTTAGATTTTTGTTTTAATTCATTTGCAATTTATGACTAATTAAAACTTTCATCTATATATAATATTTATACTGTCTTCAATGAAAAATATAAAAAGTATGTAAAGTAAGAAATTAAAATATATTAATTAAAAAAATTATAATTTTTATTTTACTATTTTTATTAATGATGTTGCTGAATAAATTAAAGTGACGTTCGTGTAAAAATAAAAATATAAAAATTACATTTTGGATGTTATATATATATATATATATATATATATATATATATTACATTATTATTTAATCATGAAAATTTATATTACAAGATGGTTATTTTTTGCAAAAATTTCCTTAATTAATTGACAATTTTTTTTAAGCTATTCATATATTAAAATTAAATTTGTTTAAATATGCTTGCATGATCCAATTTGTAAATCACAAATCCAACTTTTGTTAAATAAATATTTGAATTTAAGTCTTACCAATATAAGAAAATATAATGAAAGATAAATTGTATTAATTAGTTCATACTGATAAAATAAAAAACATAGGACGATTACCAAAATAGACAAGAAGAGTTAATAAAAAAGCATGTCTAATTACGTTTCACTATTGCTAAAACATGTATTTTCATGGTGATTTGGCTTCTACCACAGCTACATGGCATAAGAAGAGAACATGGTGACATCAAACAGTTGCGTGCAGGTTCACTTGGTGAGGTGTTCCTGGTCAAATTAAGGGGAAAATTACCTCAAAAAAGTGTGAAACGACACAGCTAAAAGCATGAAACCAACCCACAAGTTGTTATGCAAGCCACGGTTCTCTGAATCCACAAAAGAAACCACTATTTAAGGAGTTATGTTTCCCCCAACACAGTCTTTTTCTGAGCAACATCTTCACACACACACCTCAAACACCTTTCTGTTTTTTCTCCCTTCACTTCATTCTCTCCCCTTATCCTCTCTTTTACACACATTCTCAGCAAAACATTGTGATTCATATTGCCACATCCTTATCCAATCTTGTGCCAGGTTGGCCTCTTTTGTTTCTACTTGAGTTAAGAAAAATGGATCATCAAAAACGGTTCTGATCGTTGTGTATGAGATGTTGAGTGTGTCAACTGATTCCTTGTTCGGAAAGTGATTGTCTTGTTTGTCAGAAGCAAAGATCGAAACTGACGGGTGTGTTTCACATTTTTGTTTTTTGTGATGAAACACAGGACTTAAAAAGTGCGTGATGGATGCAATGGAGAACAATCATCACAGAGATACAATGGAAGAGCAAAGTTTTGAATTGCCCCCAGGGTTCAGGTTCCATCCAACAGATGAAGAACTCATCACTCACTACCTCTCACAGAAGGTTCTTGATAGCTGCTTCTGTTCTAGGGCCATTGGAGAGGCTGATTTGAACAAGTGCGAACCATGGGATTTGCCTCGTGAGTGGTCTTTCTCCCCGTGATCCTCTTTTGGTGTTCTTCATTCTTATTTATGGTACCCTTTGGTTATAATTGTACTTTTTTGTGGTTTCTCAATGCAGGGATGGCCAAAATGGGTGAAAAGGAGTGGTATTTTTTCTGTGTGAGGGACAGAAAATACCCAACTGGTCAAAGGACTAATAGGGCGACTGGTGCTGGTTACTGGAAGGCCACAGGCAAAGACAAAGAGATTTACAAGGCAAAGACACTTATTGGGATGAAGAAAACTCTGGTTTTCTACAAAGGAAGAGCTCCAAGTGGTGAAAAAACAAACTGGGTCATGCATGAATACAGATTAGAAAATGATCATTCCATGCACAATCCACACAAAAAGGCCATGGTAAAGTTGGTTTTCTGCTTCTGCTTCTGTTTTCTATACAAAAAAAAAACATATATACTGCACAAAAATTAAAGGGACAACAACAAACATTGTCTCAAAGTTGTTTTGCCAAAAAATTAACCTTTCTGCTTTTGTTTTTCTTGTTTTATTTTATTTCGCTAATGTTTGTTCATATGGTTGTTTCTGTTGGTTTCCTTTTCAGAATGATTGGGCCATCTGCAGGATTTTTCAGAAGACTAACTGTGACAAGAAAATGCAGATTTCTGGTTTGGTGAGGTTCTCCTCCTTTGGAAAGGACATGCCTTCATTGATGGATTCTTCTCCATACAACACCAGTGAAGCAAAGCCTGTTTTGGGGGAGTCATCACACTTCTCTGATCCAAACCAAAGTGAGGACCAAAGGTCACATGATGAGAACATAGTTGATAGCCTTGAAACTCTCATGATGCCATCATCATCTTCATATTCTTCAAACCCCTTTGATGTTTCCCCTGCCTCATGGAGTTTTGCCAAATCTGCTCCGGCTGTGCCCCACCAATCCCCCCAAGCTGGGAACTCACACTACTCAGACTATTTCATGGCTCAAGAACAGTCCATGTTGGGGATGTTGATTGAAAACCATGGATCAAGTACTAGCCTAAGAACTGAGACAGCACAGGATAAAGACTTTGATGCTGACATGTCCTCTCTGATATACAACAACGAAATGCTTCAAAGATCATTTGGGAACCAGGAATATTCATCACCTTCTGTAGGACATGTGTATACTAGTGACCTATGGGGATTCTAAAGAAGCTTGAAGGATACTTCTATATGCAGTTAATGTTAGGGATAATAGTAATGAAAAATAATCAAAGAAACATTAGGGATCAATAGTATTATACATGTAAATTAATTACATTTAAGTTAATGTTTAGCACAGCAAATGAATGGCAATAGTTTTCCAAAGTTGTATGGCTCGACAGTTTTATATCATAATAGTATTTTTTTTATAGCAGTACTTTATAGCAGCAATATTTTTCATGATAGTACTATTTTTTGTTTTTATTTTCCATGTTTCCAATTTTTTTATGGATGATTATTCTCTGGCTGGGAACAGGACTCTAATAGTAATTTTCCCCGATGAATAGGAATATTAACTTGTTTGGTAGAAATTGATGATTTGCAAAATTATGCATATCAGGCTCCTAATTGGTACTCACATGGATTCTTAAGGAAAACAAATGAAAGCCATTGGGAGCACTGAACCTTCTGCTTTGGCAAAAGCCAAACTCAAAAGTCAGACCCACCAAACAAGCACCAAAAACACTTACTAGTTGAGCATAATTATAAAAAAAATATATATATCATGTTTTTGCTATTTGCAATGGGATGAATTTTTTATTGTATGAACTATTTCATTTATAGAAAGTTGTCTTAAAGTTAAACGAGTTGATGAATGTGATGTGTGGAATGGGAAAATAATGAGTTGAATTACAAAGTTTTTGTCTTTCTATTTTCAAAATTGGACAAATTAATGAAAAATCTAGACTTTGATAGCATGTTAAGACAAATTATATTTACTCATGTATCTAAAATTATTTCCACCTTTCTTTAATTTTTCATTTTCATTCCATCGAGACCCTAAAAAAATATTAACATAATTTAGCAAATTCAATCGAAATTTAAAATTTGTATTATAATAAAATAAAATTATAAATAGAGTTTAAGACCATGTAATTGCATAATTTAAATTTTAAAATATTTTATAGTAAAATAATTAATATTTAAAATATTTGCTTAACAATAGCATAAATTTATAAATAAAAAATTAGTAATAGTACTTCAACCTTCTAACCAAATTCATATAATCCTAAAACACTTTGTTGTATAATAGAAAGGGTATTTTACTATGTGTTTGTATTCTGAATTATGATATATAGAGAAACAATTTTTGAAACTTTAGGTATGAGGATGACCCTTCCATTGTTCCTTTCTTTCATAATTTCATCTCTCAATTTAGGATGACATTGTCGGTTTGTGAGAGGGATACACACTTAGCCAAAATAATTTCAGATACATGCATATGCCCTAACTAGCTTCCACAATAATTCGTATATGGATAAAGTGCTTCCAATCTTATCTTTGTTATCTCAAAGCCACTTAGAAAAAGAAACCAAGTTTCCTTATATAGTATGTATGAAATTGCCTTGGTTTCCTTTTCATACAATGTGAAAGATTGAAGATAGATATAAGTAGATACACCGTATTCAACTGTGTTATTTCTTTTCGTTCTCTTTCTTTGCCCGCAATGTGTTGCTGTATTTTTTACTAGTTATGGCTTCTCTTGCATGCTTTCTCTCATGCTAGGGTGCCCATTGTTTTAGGTTTTTGGAGCAAGCTTTGACATGAAGTAACATGAGATATATGTATGATTGATTTTGCAACATACCCAATGCACGATGGAGATTGGAATCATGTGGTGAAGTGATTTTGTTCACTACTGAGTGCAATTCAAATGTTGGTTAATTTTGTTTAGACATTGTTTGTTTGGTAGTAGAAATGGAGATAAGCATGGTTATTAAATTCGCGAGTTAACTCGTTAATTTGGACGAGTTTCCAAGTAATGGTTCACGAGTTAACTTATAAGTAGACTTGATTTTTTTAATAAATTTGTACAAATTCAGAGTCAAACTCGAAGTCTCGAGTTTATTGTCAATCACAAGTCGACCAAGGTTCTTCTCGATCATTCTATTTTTTTCTCTTCTCTATGGTGGTTTCTCTTCTCCATGCAACGTCTCTTTGTCCTCCGCATGCGATGGTTTTCTCTTGTATTTGATGCATCTCTCTTCCGTGTGTGACACATTTCTCTCCTATGTTTGCAAGGTGTCTCCCTCCATAGCTCAACACATCTCTCTCTACTCTGCATTACGCATCTCTCTTCTTTGCGTGCAATACATCTCACTCCTTCACGCGTGATGTGTCTGTTGCAGGTAGCATCAATTGTCCTGTGACGAAGGTCAGGTGGGCCGAGTCACAATTGAATCGTGGCGCTTGGGCTGTTAAAAGTAAAAAGAGTTGCGCTCGACTAATGGCTATAGCTTTTGGCTTAGTGGTAAGCGCTCATTGTTAGGATCGAGCGCTTACCACTAGGCCAAAAGCTATAGCCATTAGTCAGAGCGCAACTCTTTTTACTTTTAACAGCCCAAGCGCCACGATTCAATTGTGACTCGGCCCACCTGACCTTCGTCACAGGACAATTGATGCTACCTGCAACAATCTCCCCCTCAGCAATTGTCCTACAAGGTATCCCACTCTTGGATTGTGACTTGGCCCACCCGGCCTCTGCCACGGGACAATTGTGCAACCTGCAACAATCTCTCCCTCAACAATTGCCCACCAGGAATCGAACTCGTGACCTTGGCTCTGATACCAATTGTTAGGAACAAGACAATAATAAAGGAAAGAATGAAGGAGAGAAAAATAAACGACACAAGAATTTTAACGTGGTTCGGCTAAAATATGTATGCCTACGTCCACGACTACACACAGAAATAAAAATACTTCCTAGTGTAGTCGTGGACGTAGGCATACATATTTTAGCCGAACCACGTTAAAATTCTTGTGTCGTTTATTTTTCTCTCCTTCATTCTTTCCTTTATTATTGTCTTGTTCCTAACAGTGTCTCCCTCCACCTTGCGACTGGTCTTGCTCCTGTGACGCAACCTGTCTCCCTCCTCCGTGCAAAACCATCTCCCTTCTTCGTGAGATGAGACTTCTTTCAGATTTGTTACCTCTTAGTTTGTTGGACGTTTCTCCCTCTCTAGTTTTAGTTTTTATTTTTATTTTCTTTCTTTTTTTAATATGTTTTAAATTTTATTTTTTTTAATTCTGTTTTAGTTTTTTTTCTTTTTAAGAAATTAAATTTTTTAATTTTTTTGTTTTTATTTATTTGTATAAATTAGTTGTCAAAACGATGAAATGTCAATAATCAAGACTAATTTAATCTTTTATTAAAGTACAAATAAAAAAATAAAATAAATATTTAATAATTATATAGATTAAATATTTTAGATAAATTAAAAAATTAATATAATTATTTTTATATAAGTAAACTCTTGCAAGTTTACGAGTCAAATATGCGAGTTCAGTTTGTAGAGATCTTACAAGTCTACTTAAACTCTAGAGTTCGATAACCTCTTGGAGATAAATGAATGTAAATTGATGAATATCCTAATAATAAGAGCCTTATTTACTAATTTAACTATAGTAATACATAATTAATTATCAATCATATAGACATACAATAATATTGTAATATATAATTAAGTATAATCTTCATCTCACTAAATTGATTTTGTAAGATTGAGTTAGATATCTTCCCATTTATTAATGACAATTTTATCAATATTAAAATATTAACTGTTAATGGTTAAGAATTAAATAATATGTTATTAGACTAATATTAGAATACTTATATTTTATGTAAAGGAGTGTGATGAAAAAAATTTCAAAGTATTTCACTGTTTATAAGAATAATAATTAAATAAAAGTTTAAATATATTTTTATTTTCAAAAAAATTAATAAATTTTTAATTTCGTCTTTAATTATAAATAATATTTTTATTTCATTTTATAAAAGGTTAAATCTTGTTCATGATTCTTATTATTATGCAACATTGTTTGTATTTAATCTAAGTTTAAGTGAATATCTATCGGTGGTTGATGTTTAATGTTAGCACGTTAAAAATATATTTTTTTAAATAAATCTGATTTATTTAGAAAAAAACGGTTTTTAAAAAAGAGTTTGCAAGGACTAAAAATAAAAAATTGTCTATTTTATAAAAACTATAAAAGATAATAACTTAAAATTTTAAAGTTATAAACTTAATTTTTATAAGTATTAAAATTAAAAAAAATCATTTTGCATAAAAAAATGCGAATATAAAAAAAATCATTTAGAAAGATACAATTTTTTTTTCAATATCAAACAAATATTTTTTTCTTTATTTTTCATTGACTAAATAATATATATTTTTACGTTATTTTCAATATTATACCTGACCCGTTGACCTTGCTTGGCCCATTTTGACAGAATAATGTTTATGCTCTTTCAATTGAATAATGTTTACGTTAATTGGATCAATGTTTTTTTTTTATAAATAAACTCGATATTAGAAATGTTTCATCATTTTTTTAAAACAATTTAAAAAGGGGATATTTCAACTGTGAATTAAACCATACATATTACCATGGAGTCCTCTTCGGTGTTTGGGTCTCTACTGGGCCAATTTGAACTTTTCTCATCATGGGCTTTGTAGATAGTTTGAGAGGAGTTCTACGTGCTCCTCCATACTTTCTTCCTACACTTCCATCATTAAATTAAATTATATTTTATCTTTATACTTATCTTCATTTTTATAAGTACTTATTTCTGATTTTTAAATGCCTTATTTTTAAAATATACTAAAATATTTTCATTCTTACTTCTCTTATTATTCCAAAAATTGTAAGATTAAGTAAGAATCTCCAAATATTTCTAATTTGTATCAATTTTTTACCACCTATAATATTGATGCAGTAAGATTTTTGGTTAAAAACACTTTATGGGGATTGGGAATACACTTATGAAAAAAAAAAAGAAATCTGAAAACATGTTTCGGAAAGTGAGTTTCAGAATACATTTTCAGAAATAATTTTTCTAAAAATACATTCCAGATTAGCGGGTTTGGAATAACTTCTGAATTGCTTATTCTGAAAGTGTATTTTGGACCCACTAATCCATAATGAATTTCTGGAACTGGAAATGTATTATAGAACTTATTTTCTGGAACATATTTGTAGAAAATTTTTTCTGTATTTTTGAATTAGTTTTTCTGAAAACACATTTTGGAACTCTTAATCCATAATATATTTTTGGATTGATTTTTATTCTATAATGGGTGTTCCAGAACTCAATCTAATTTTCACAAAACTATTCCGGATGGAGCAACCTAGGTCTCAGTATGTAATTTCAGTATAAGAATATGTAATAGATATATAATATTAATGATTAATCACCTTTTAAGTGTTGAAAATGATCTTCAACGAAAGTGATAGTCAAGAAACCAAATTCATATCTATGGAGGTGCAATAAGAAAATAAGGAGTGCAAGAAGAAAGTGGCTAATTTGAAAGACCACCATAAAGAGAGACCAATTCTACATTGGGCCATTTTAAATAGTCACAAACCCATTATTGCCATTAAATTCAAAATCTAAAAACTGAAACAAGGTTAGAAAAAATTAGTTATTTTTTAATGAAAAAAACTATTTATATACAACTAACATTTTTAACTAAAGGTTTTATTTTTATATAGATTAAAAAAATTGTACTAATTATACCTTTTTCCCCTTGTGGTGACTTTGTTTTTATTGATAAATTATATGTTGTATAGTTGAATGGGGTATGCTGTTTTGATATAGGTTATCCTCATTAAGTACAAGGGGAGTGGGTTATACTATAGCTGCCCTAATTTCATAGGTATGGGGTGAAATTGATGTGAATATGTTGTAATTTTCGAAGATGGCTTCTAATATTGGATTTGACCTAAGAAAGGAGGGTCCTCCGAGGTAGTTGGAAAAATTACCTAAACTTTCACGTCCATAGGATCTTGCCTCACTTTGGTAGGAAAACAAATGTCTAATCTAAAAGGGTTCTTAAGTCATGGCTACGTTGCATTAACATGAAGACTAAACAAAATGTACTACAACTCATCCAACTTTCATTCATTCTCTTTCCTATCTAAGCCAAAACAAGTTAACTAAATTAAAGTTATGTTGTTGCAATCACCCTCACCCTATCACCAAAACACAATTCTGAAGGTGACATTGAAAAAGTTGCTCCCTCATTAGGATGGACATATTTCAGGGACACCTATAAGATTCATGATTGAGCCCTAGCTAGTACCCGAAATTTTCAACAATGTGAGATCATCGTCTTCCATATGTTGAGTACATGTGTTCTGAATCTGGAAACACAATAAGTGGATAATCATGTTCATGATCGTGAAATTAGCACCAACTCAAACCTACTCATGGTTTCGTTTTTAAAACCCTCAAAAGTCGATGTCACCAGATCGTGATTTATGACGTTGTTTGTTGCAAGAAATTTCTAGCGAAAAAGACATCTTTGCATATATACATGTTATTATCACCAATTGATAATAATATGCATGCTTACACTAACAACCTTGCTAATTATTTTAATCTCTCTTTTTTATTGGTCATTGTTCAATTAATTCATGACCCACATATAAGCTATTTTTTCGTGCCTACTTGATCATCATATTGTGTGTTGTTAGAAACTTGATTTTTCCTCTTGCATTGCCATCATGTCCATAAATGATTGAAATCGATGGCTTGTTTTTTCCACTTGTACGACCAATAGTGTTCGTTGATTGCTACTTTCTTTATCTAGTTGTGTACGATCTTCAAGATTTAGGGCCATGCTTCCATTTAGGTTTTATTTTCATTCAAATCACCCTACGCAAAGTTTGATTCAAACAAAAAAACTTTATTTCATGTATATCCACTTGGATTTGTTAAAGATAATATTTCAATTCATTTATTTAAGCTCTTACCACTTTTTTTTTCTTGACGTTGTGATAAGTTTTCTTTTAAGAGTATTTGGGCTTAGATTTTATTATATTTTCTCTATAAACAAGAGTGCATTATTCTTTGTCTATCATATCGTTATGATCAATTATTACGTTTGATATATTACCTACTTTACAACTTGAATATGTCATAATTTTGTCTCAAAAAGATATTTCAATGAATTAAGAGAATGATATATGTAAATTATTTTTAACTTAATTCATAAGTGATATAGGACTTAAAATGTACTAAAACATAATCCCTAAACAATGACTAATAAATATGAGTGGAACGACATTCTATCTTCAATTCAACGAAGAGTGTCAAATGCTGATATTTGTATTAAGAAGAACAATCAAAGTCAAGTATCTCATTTTGTCTTATACATACTCTAATTTATCTATTGAGAGCTTGATTATTTTTCTGTAATAATATAATTAATTATGAAATTTATAAATATAATGAAAATTTGTTGATGATATCTCTAATATCTATTTTGCTTGTTTCTCTAAGTTTTTTATCAGAATTCATTTATATATATGAATGATATAATTATATGAGAAAAAAAAAATTTCATATGGGATTAAGAAGATTAAAATAATTTTGAAGTTTGTTTATTTATTTATATTACGTTTTGTTTTTATATGTTTAGGTTGGGTCAAATGAAATGTGAATTTGTTTGTATGATTAGTATGGTGTGACTTAGGTTGATGTATGAAAATTGATTTTGATATAAATTCAGTTAGTTATCAGTCATCAAACAAGGAAAGTGAAGAAAAGATTATACAAAAACAAAATAATTGTAAAAAAAAAAAAGTGCAGAAAAAATCAACCTCTTACAAAAGCTTCATTAAGTGTTAAAATAAATGAATTGAATCAGATAATGGTAATGGTTATTAATAATTGAAAAACTAGTTAGTAAGATTTCAAAGAACATGCACATTACACACCTCCATTTTTGGAACATATATAATATTGTCTCTTTATTCTAACCACATTAACAGGTTTTTGAGGATAAATGTAAAAGTAAGTACATCTAATTTAATAGGGTTGATTCATCACAATTTTAACTAAATATTTCTTCTCACACCTATATATTGATGGAATAAATTAGATTATTATAGACTAAATAAAATAGAGTCATCTATTAATTTGGTCTAAAGTAAGTTAAATTAATTTTATTCCACAATAAAAATAAAAATATTTTTTTTCAATTTAATCTAATTAAAATTTGTAATAAGTGAAATTAATTCTCTAGAACAGAAAATTTAAAAATAAATAATATAAACATGATAATTAATTTTAAAGATATTATCATAATAAATATATATATAAGTTCAGATATTTTCGTCTCTATATAAAATATATAATATTTTTATTTTAACTTTTTATTAAAAAATAATAATTTATATATATATATATATATATATATATATTATAAAAATAAGAAAATATTTAACTTTAATTTTTAAGATAGAGGGTATCGTCTATCTTAAAAATTAAAGATTGTCCTCGTATCTCTAATATTTTTCAAAAATTTACACCTTAAATATAAATTATAATTTAGACATATCTCTATACATATCTCGTCATGTTAAGGATGGGATATGATGTTAAAGAACGGTTCGATAATAAATAATATTATATTAAAAATAGAGAGATTTTTATGTGTATACTTAAAAATTATACATTTCAATTATATATTATATTTTAATCTGATGGAGATGGCCAACCATATCAATAAATGTAATTCTTTATAGATTCATTTCTACAATCCAAACTGGCATCTCACCCTTGTATTAAAAACTTACAAAAACAGAGAAATTTTAAGAAAGTAAATCAATAACGAACTTCTCAAAAACATATAATTACAAAATTGCTAATATTCTGGTGTAAAAAAGTCGAGTCTTCTTCCCTCAGCATTAAAATTTGAACGTTGCTGTGGACGTGTTTGGAGCAGACTGAAAAACAAAGATCCAACATTCTCTCTCCACGATTGATACAAGCCATGATCATTACCATCTTATTGATGTGAAACAACCATGCAGAAACGAAAAAGAAACATGGTATTATAAGAAATGGTAACTTGAATGAACCTGTTTGGCGATGGAGAGAAATAAGAAGAAAAGCAAACAAAACAAGATCGGAAGTGATGTTTGATGAAGAGATGGATTGGTGGTAGATTTTTCAATGTTTGTGTTATGTCAGATATGAGGCATGTGGAACTTGAATCAGTTTGACAAGTGTAATAGTTACACATTAAATGGGATCATTAAGGCTATGTTGGACCATTACGATGCTTAGAGCTGGCAACGATAAAATTTAAGGAGGGTGTCCCCATTGTCCTTGCTTTGCTTGCAACCAGTATGAGTCTCTCTCTCTCAGATCCAATGAGACTTTTTCCATGGCACACCACACACATTTATGTTTTCTATTTTAGCCCTTTTTCTCATCACGGGACCCTTCTTTTGTCTTCTCATGCACCAAATCATTCAAGATACCCTTCACAACCCTAGTGCCCCCCACCCTCATAAATTCCTCCCAAATTACCATAACACCCCTTCTGCTTCTTCTTCTTTCAATGGATTCACCTCTATTATTAAGTGCCAACCTTTTCTGGCACCTCACTTTTCTCATCTGGGTAATTGCTAAAGTTCAGACCTTCAATATAACCCATGTTTTTTTAGTGGATGCAAACTTGGTTTACTAAGCTTCCTCATCTCTGTTTTCCCCCTAATAGCACACACATATATGGATATATATATGCTTTCAACCATGACTTTCAAGGAAATTAATTACATTCCAAGTTTCCTTCCTTCATTTTTCAGTCCCCCTAGTTACTGTTGATCATTAAATATGAACACATTTTCCGGAATTCAAACATTTTTTTACCACATAAAAACCAAAGAAACTACTCTCGTACATTTTAGATGAAGCTGTTTAGTGTAAATTGAGTAGAGCAGAAAATACATCACTGATATCTGTCCTAGTGTCAATTATATATAACTTAATAGTTCTAGATATTATTGCAGTCTGATATACGTACCATTAGATAAGGCTTGAGTAGTTAATTAAGCAGAAAATCAGAAACTGAATTAAGGAACCACTCTCATGGTAGGTTGTAGCCGACCTCAAATGGATATATCCAATTTCTAGCAGGAATTCTTGATTGCTATGAACACTCTATTGTTCAAACATCACTTAGGACTGACAACACTATGGTTTCAACTTTTTGGTCAAACTTGCATAAAAGCACAAAAATTAATGTTTCTGGGAGGTAAAAACAAAGATGTGAGGGACTTGAAAAGAGTAGCTTCAACTCATGACTCATTTCTCATTCAATCTGTTAATAGTTTAATAATAAGCATGGCTTAAGAGTTACTAATTTTCTTTAATGTTATTATAAATGATTAGAAAATAATTAGACACAACTTAGATCACTTCCTTCTACAAATTTGATAAAGAAACTTTTTTGTTGAAAGCCTGTGAAAGAATTGTAATTCATCAAAACAAAATGATGTCGTTTATAAATTTTACTCATCATATTGTGCACAAGTTAAGTCGATCCTAATGTATTACGAAACAGGTCTGCATAAAAGACTAAATTTTTCAACTTTTACAAGCATTTAATTTGAACTATTACAGTCTATATTTTATCACGCAAATCCATAACAACTAGTTAGTGTGGACTATTTTGTGAGTTGTAATTAAGAGTGATGTAAAGAGAATAATATATAAATAGAATGATAGTAAAATATAAAAATATTGGCAGTGATATTTATTGTTTGATAGAGGAAAAAGAAAAAGTGAAAAGCATATGATGAATAATTAAAAACCGGCCTTAGCCATTCCATAAATACAGCTAGATGACGTAACACTTAGAAATTATGGCTATAACTTGGCATACCTCATTGCTGTCGATGCCTTCTAAATTCTGCCCAAAGTAAGTTCACGAAAAGACAATACACTCCCTCCAATGTTTAATTTTATCAGTATGCCATTGTTTAAACTATGTTTAATCTCATTTGAAGTTTCGTAAACAAAGAAAATAGAATTAGAAAGAGGGTTAATGATATTGATGAACAACTATACATATATAAGAAATCATAACCACTACCACAACTTTTATATATATATGATTATTAATGGATATTTTATATGAATGAGGAAAAATTAATGAGTTGGTAGAGAAGGGTAGTCTTGTAACGATATAGTCCACACACATGTACCTTACTGTTAATTTAGTTTAGTTTATTACGCCATTTATGCCGCTGACCTTTCTTCCCTGCCCATCTCTTCATTTATAATTAAGTCCATGTCCCTCTCTCTCTCTCTCTCTCTCTCTCTCACACACACACACACACACACCCCATAATTTTCTTCCCTTCATTGTGCTATATAAGTGAGAGCAAAAGCTACTACAGTCTTTAGTGCTACTTTCCACTTGCAAATGGGACGATCACCATGCTGCGATAAGGTAGGTTTGAAGAAAGGACCATGGACTCCAGAAGAAGATCAGAAGCTCTTAGCTTATATTGAAGAACATGGTCATGGAAGCTGGCGTGCCTTGCCAGCAAAAGCTGGTACTACACACTTTTTTTGGTGTAATATTGCTTAAGTAGTGTATAGTAACATGTGGGTGCAGGTATGTGTAATGTTGCAATGTAGTTCATGTTGTAAAGTGAAACTGCTTCTGCTGCTGTGTGTATATATAGGACTTCAGAGGTGTGGCAAGAGTTGCAGACTAAGATGGACCAATTATCTTAGGCCTGATATTAAGAGAGGAAAGTTCAGTTTGCAAGAGGAGCAAACCATCATTCAACTACATGCCCTCTTAGGAAACAGGTTTGTTTGGTATCTTTCTCTGTAGAGCAGAAAAATACATGCTTTTGGATTTGCACTTTTGGAATCAAGTCTTTTTGCCTCTAGCTATTCATTTGCTCAGGCTTGGTTGGTTTAATTCATTTCTTTCTTGGTTTTTCCTTTGTGCAAGGTACCGATAATGTTCAAAACTCAAGACCCGTTATGTTTTTTTTTTTAAGTGTGAAAGTGATACATTGTTTTTCCTTCCACAAATATAATTTTTTTTTTCAAATGACAGTAATTATAATTGATCATGTCATGTCAGTGTATTTCACACTGACCTCAACTTGATATTTTATTCCCATACTCTCTCTTCACTAACTGTATGGATCATTCATTCATTCATTTTCCGTGGGAAGCTATAATTTCTTTTCTGTTCCTGTGCCCTTGCTGTGCAGCAGAATGCCTTAAATGCTATGACCTCTCAATTTCTTCACCCAACTATTCCAACCCTCCCCCAACAAAAAATTTGAGAAACTGTTGCTCTGTGCCATTTCCTTAAATTTTCTCCCTGACATACAGGTTTATTCGAGGTGAATCTTAATTGCAAAATGATATATATCATACACATCTTCTGCCACAATCAACAGAAAAAATTCAATGCTATAATTTTTTTTTTTCACACAGGCAGAAAGCAATGGCATGTAGCCATGTATATGATTATCTAATTCTCTCAACATGGCAATAAAAATAAATACATACCTTTCTCATTCTCTCTCACAAATATCAACTCACATTCTTTTATAATATATGTGTGTTAACATTAGATGATTAGTTAAAAACAACAAAACAACAATCTGGTTTAGTAGTAGTTTTTTGGAATATTACTCTAGGGTTTAATTTGACATTGGTTTTTTGTGGTGTGTCTGCACTATGCTTGTGCTGTCTTTGTACTCAGGTGGTCGGCAATAGCCACACACTTGCCAAAGAGAACGGACAATGAAATCAAGAACTACTGGAACACGCATCTTAAGAAAAGGTTGACCAAAATGGGAATTGACCCTGTCACACACAAGCCAAAAAATGATGCACTTCTCTCTAGTGATGGCCAATCCAAAACCGCTGCAAATCTCAGCCACATGGCTCAGTGGGAGAGTGCTCGGCTTGAAGCTGAAGCAAGACTAGTGAGAGAATCAAAACTACGTTCACATTCACTTCAGCAACAACTTGGAAGTTCTTCTACATTTGCATCTTCATCTTCTGCATCCACTTCAGCTTCAGTTCTCAACAATAACAATAATAAGCCAGAAGCTCAGCCACCGCCGCCTCCGCCGCCGTCGCGTTCCTCCCTTGATGTTCTCAAGCCTTGGAACAATGGAGGGTGGTTAAAATCAATTGAAGGGAGTGGTGCTATTGCAAGCACTGTTGGGGTGAGTGGTGACCTTGAGTCTCCCACTTCTACGCTATCTTTCTCCGAGAATGCACCACCAATAATGAGTGCAATTGGAGGAGAAAATAACAACAACAACGATAATGCAATGCCTATGATTGAGTTTGTGGGAAGTTCGGGTAATTCATCTTCTCTTGTGAAAGAAGAGGGTGAACAAGAGTGGAAAGGTTATGACAGTTCTATCACCACTTTTAGTTCTAATTTGCATGAGTTCACAATGTCCATGGAGGGCACGTGGGCCCATGAGTCCCTCAGAACTAGTGGCTCACATGATGACATTGTAGAAGAAGGCTTCACCAATCTTCTCCTTAAGACAAATTCGGAAGATCCAAGTTTGTCGTCGGAAGGTGGAGGAGAGTCTAACAACGGTGACGGTGATGGTGGTGGTGGCAGTCATAGCGATTTTTACGAAGATAACAATAACTATTGGAACAGCATCCTCAATTTAGTGAATTCATCCCCTTCTGATTCTCCTATGTTCTGATGTTAGGTGAGGAATGGACCATATCTAAGGTTGAATTTTTACCAAATTTTGTTAGGTGAAACATTGTGTTTATCTCTTGCTTCATTACAAGTATTCACAAAGTTTTTATAGGTCTAAAGTTATTTAACGAGATAAACACAAATTCATGTGACAAAGTGAAGTGAAAATTCGCATTTATTTGCGTGTTGGAAAAGGGTACGTGAGTTTGAGTCGCATATAAGCAGCATCGTCAAGAAACTCAGACCCAAAATGGTTGATTTTTTCTTCCCCATCACCATGAAATGAACATGCTCACAGAAACATGTGGAGTTCCATAGAGTGGTTTTTGTTGATGCTTTTAACAGAGACTCTTTTTAATTTTTTTGTTTTATATTTTTCTTCCCTTGGAAGTGTGTTATTGTAATTCTCAGATACCTTGTTTTGCAAAAAACAGCTCACTGGTTGGTCGTTTCCAGCATCAAATGTTCATATGAATTTGTTTGGATTTGATCTGTTTGAATGGAGAATGCGCAATTGGATCTGTAGTCAAAGTGACTGTAGACAAGAGTGTGTGCGAATTAAATGACTTTTACACCAAGTAATTAATTTTCCGGTGTTCAAACTGTATAAAAAATATCAATAAAGGAAACATTTAGTATGGACTTTATTGCTGTTGGTTTCATGTCGCATTCTTGCTTTTTAATGTTCATATTTTTTTGCAGAGAAATTTCCATTTCACCTTATCTTCAAACTAAATTTATACAATTCTACAGTTATCACACTTTCCTAGTATCTCTGTTTATTTGCTTCGTTGTCACATATACTTAATCAAGTGGAACTAAATACTCTTTTTTTCATTAAAAAAAAAATCAGCTTTATGATTCACAAATTTGAAAATCCAAATTGATGTGATGATTTTTTTATAATTATTGTGTATGAAGTTTTTTGTAGTGTAATATTTTAGTCATTTTTACTGTAATTTAATTTATACAAGTTAATTATATTTATTAAGATGTTTTTAGCCTTTTAATAACTATATTGCGTATGAATGTTTTGATCAAAATGTGTTTTGTTTAAAATAGAACTTACCCTAAATCATATGACTCATGCTTTTCTAAGGAGTACATATAAATTCTGATGCCTATGAAAAATCTTATTTTAAAATATATATTGAATTGTGATTTGTGTGGAGGAGATTCTTCAATAGTAATTATAATATAAGAAAATTTAGAAAAAAAATTATAATTAAATTTTTCTATAAGCTAAAATTGTAAGTTATTAATTTACAAGAAATTTCTTATGTAAATTACCAAGAAAAATTTTACTTTTAGATTTTGTATAAGTAAATTAGCTTATGAAGAATCTCATTTATTTTGATTCTTCTTATTGTTTTCTTTCATAAATATTATAGAAAAATTATTTTAATTGTATCATTTGCTTAAATTAAAGGTTTTGATGTGCAAAAATAAGTCAACAATCAAATTCAAGACAAAAAAAATTATAAAGGGATTAATTCAAAACTCATAAGTTTGAAAGATAAAGATTCTTAAGAAAATCTTTATTTTTTGTGATTTTCATTCTTATTGTTTATTATTCTGTCAATTATATGTTGTAGGATTAAGTTCTACTCATCAAAGCTTATTATTCCCAACAATTAAATTACCATACTCAAAGTTAATGCTTAAAAAATTATCTTAAAATAAGTTAATAGGTTTTTAGTCTTTTGGAATATTTTTGATTTTTTTTAAATCTACAAATATTAAAAACAAAATCCACAAAATTTTCCAAAGCTCTCTCCATTATTTTCCCCACCTAATATATTAAGTGCTTCTCAATTCTTGCTTAAGTGTTGTTGAACTTAACAAAGCACCTTATAAAAATTTGTTTAAATAAATAAATAAAAACATGGTTGGAAGTCTCGGATCGCCTACCTCATGTCATTTGGTATGGTTTAAATACATGTTAGGCTGCTCCACATATTGTCAATTGGTTTATGTTTGAACCTTAACATGGTATTAGAACCAAAGCGTAAGGTTGTTGTCTTGGGCCAAAAGTTGCTCTTTCGTTGAGTTAAAAAGGACCCTTTACCTGGTCCGGCAGACTTCGTTGGAGGGAAAGTGTGTTGGAAGTCCCACATCGCGTACCTTATGTCATTTTGTATGGTTTAAATACATATTAGGCTACTCCACATATTGTCAATTAGTTTTATGTTGGAACCTTAACAAACACTTATATAATTTCATACTGGTCTCTGATCGTAATTAAAGTTTTATTTAAAAGCAATGAAGGAGAGATGATGACAATATGAAACATGTCCCTACATTTCCAAGAGATGATTTAGATGATGATTCAAGTCAACAATATTGAAGACTCAAGCAAACCCAAGATAATTCTTGAAGACTAGATAGAATACTGGATATGGAGGTACAAGTTGATGAAATTGTATTATGCATAAGCCTTTAAAGCACAAATGGATAGGGAGCGTGTTGGAAGTCCCACGTCGCGTACCTCATGTCATTTGGTATGGTTTAAATACATATTAGGCTACTCCACATATTGCCAATTGATTTTATGTTGGAACCTTAATAGGTCTCTGATCGTAATTAAAGTTTTATTTGAAAGCAATGAAGGAGAGATTATGACAATATGAAACATGTCCTTACATTTTCAAGAGATGATTTAGATGATGATTCAAGTCAACAATATTCAAGACTCAAGCAAACCCAAGATAATTCTTGAAGACTAGATAGAATATTATAATACTGGATATGGAGGTACAAGTTGATGAAATTGTATTATGCATAAGCCTTCAAAGCACAAATGTGATAAAATTTCATAACATGACATTTTTCACTGTCATAATTAATTATGATGCATCAGAAATGGAAAAACTTTGTCATAATTGATTATACTGGTAACATAATCGATTATGACAGTTCAAATTTAAAAATATTCGTTTTGAAGAATAAATATTTTTGAATATATCCTAATTTTTTTCTTTACGAAAGTATTAATGACCAACGACTATTTTCTGATGTTATTTTCCTATTTAAATGAGTTTTGATGAAAAATAAAAAAGACATAATTACAAAATTCGAAAATACAATTTACATTCAATCAGTTTTGAGAAAAGAATCCTGAGCAAGACAACATAGCACTTTTAGGTTTTCTAATAAAACTTTTTTATACTGTCTTATGCACTTTCATTGTTAATCACATTATGTAGGTTTTCATTCTACAAACTTCTACAATTTGTTATCTCCATTTCCCAGGTATGACTGTTCTTGTTTTTATTACCTTCATCATTTGTGGATGACTGTTCTTATCTTACTCTTTCATCCTTTGTGGGTTTAAGAGGTTTAAGTTAATCAATTGTGTTTTTATCCTTTAATTTATTCAGAGTAGGTGTTCATCCCTAGTGTAATTCTAGGGAGATGTTCATCCTTTGTGTTTTGGTAGCAAATGAGGTGATTCTCATCCCTAGTGAGATTCTAGGGAGGTGTTCATCCTTGGTGGGATTCTAAGGAGGTGTCTTCATCCTTTGATTTGTTCAGAAAAGGTGTTCATCCCTAGTAGGATTCTAGGGAGGTGTTCATCCCTAGTGGGATTCTAGAAAGGTGTTCATCCTTAGTGGGTTTCTAAGGAGGTGATTATCTTTTGAATTAGTTTACTTTTTGTTGATTTGATTGTAATTTGTGAACTGAATTTAAAAGATAGTGAATCGAGGTCACTCTTGTGTTAAGAGTTGACTGGGAACTGAATGTAGGGTTCGCTATACCAGAACCAGTATAAATCACTGTGTGTGCTCTTCTCTTTCTCTTATCCTTTTTCATCGCATTACTCTCCTTACACCCCTTATTTTTATCTCTATTTTTCTCTATTTTGTTGATATTTTATCTATCCGATAATTATATTACTTCCACTTTATCTTTATTTAATTTGATAATTAAAATTCAATTAATAAATATTGGACATCTTAAAATAAATTTTTAATTTGACATTTATTTAATTTTTCATCTATTGACCCTTTAAATATCATTTGTCTAACATTATTTGCGTTGAATATTTCAAAAAATTAAACATAGATTCTCACACATATGGTCATAAGTTAATTATATAATAAATATAATATTATTTTCAACCAACCATCTTAAAATCTTAAAATATTATATTAAGAATTTTTTTAAAGCAAAAATATTTCGTAATAAAAAATATCTAATAATAAACTTTACTTATAAGGTTATTCATTAGAATTAGACTTGTTTATTTTAAAATTTTATAAAAAAATCTTCTATTCAACCGTTCATAATTGAGATGATTATTAAATAAATCATCAATTTTAATATTATTATTAAACATTTTTTAAAGAGTTAAAATAAAAATATTTTTACAAATATAAGACTAGTCAATTACATAATATAATATACTTTCAACCAAATCTTAAAAATATGATTTTTTTTTACTTAATTACTCCATTTTCACATTTCTATTTAATTTAGATTTAGATTTTCATCACTAAGTTATACAATAATCTAGAGTTATAAATTTATTGATTTACAAAGTAACTCAAACATTACATGTGACAAACTTTCTTCCATTGCACCAATGAGCCAATGGAAACATGGCGACCCCATGAACACATGCACCTAAAAGAAATCTTCAACTTTTAGATCATAATGGTGGTGAAGTACTACAAACCCTAAATAGCTAATCATGATCAAAGATGTTCTAATTTTTGTCCTTACACAAGTGGACTTGTTCTGTTCAAGGTTTGCATGCTCTCTTCTCTTGCCATGAATATAATACAATGTGTGTTCTTTGGCCAAATAAATAAATAAATAAATAAATACAGCTATCAAATTTATTACTAACGGCAAGTTCAAATTATGTTTACTATGACTTGACAATCCTTATAAATGATCAAATGGACATGGCAGTTAATTTCCCCAAAAAATTAAGTATTTAAAGCTATTACGTACATATAAGTTAGTCCGATAAATTAGTAAAACAAGTCAAGATAAAAAAAATTATGGTTAAAAATTTAATTTGAGTTATTTTGATTTTTTTTTACTTTGTATTCTAAATAGATTTAGATTTATCTATTTTATAAAATAATAATTATATTTTTAAAAATAATATTAATTTATTAAAACATATATCTTTATATTATAATTTATATATCAAATTATTATATTGAAAATTTAAATAATTATATTAAAATAACTTATTTTTTTATAATATTTTTTGTTAAGTCAGAATGATTTATTGTCCTATTGATCCAAGAGCTGAGGTTTATCTTGAAATTACAAACCATTTAAATTTGAGTAGGACCAGACCGAAATAATTTTATTTTATTTAATCAATTTAAATCAAATTTACCCATTTTACAAATAATGATTATATATAAAAAATATTAGTTTATTAATATATATATTATTTTTATATATAAAATTAACATAATTTTATTAATATAATTTAATATTAGAAATAAACTGTTTTAATTTTTTGTTGGTTAAGAGTGATCAAGAATGGTGTATTACTTTGTTTGACCCACCTAGAACCGAGACTAATTTTAAAAATATAATTCACGTACTTTGAATCAACACAATTTTTATTTCAATAAAATTGGGTTGAATTAATTTATTTTATAAAATAATAATTTATATTTTAAAAATTTAATTTAATTTTATCTTATTAATATATATATATATATATATATATATATATATATATAATATTTTGATATCTTCGTAAATTTTTCATGATTTAAGAGTTAAAAGTAATGATAATTTATATATATATATATATATATATATATATATATTTTTTTTTTTAATTTATCAAAACATCTTTTAAAAATAAAATTATAATAAAAAATAAAATAAAAAATAAAAAATTAATCCAAATAATATTATCAACATCATACTAATTTCTGATACTTTGATAAAATAATAAATATATTAAAAAGTGATATTTAAAATAAAATTATTTTATTAATTTAACTTAACTTTTAGAAACACCTATTTTATTTTTAACTTTATCAAAAGTACGCTTGTGACGGTGGATAAACAGTAAAGCTCGAACGTCCACCACTTGCCGATAGAAAACTTCGTTACGAAGAAAAACATATAATATTGAAAAAAAAATTACTAAAGCGTTTAGTCCTTTTTTTTTCATATTATTTTATTTTCCTTTTTATTGTTTTTATTTTTTTCTTTTTATATTTAGGCATATATAGATTTTCTTTGATATTATTTTAGGAGAAATTGTGTTTGTAAAAGAAAAACTAGAAGAAGAAGAAAAATGCGATTATCATTTTAGAAGTTGAATGCAATCTTCTTTTTTGTTATTGTAAATTTATTATAATGAAGAAATTCAAAAGTATAACTTATTTGCATAATGGAGGCACATTTTGCAAGTAGGACTAAAATAAAGTAGGGGAAGGGACGGTATGCAATTAAATTTTCCAGAAAGATAAATACACCCTACAAAAATATATAATTGCAATATGGTCCCCCATCTTTTGTTTAATTAAAAAGTAATTAACAATATAAGTGATGAATATGTTTCATGTCAATAATTATATACATAATTAAAAAAAATAACAAATAATCTTGATGAATGAGAGAAAAAAAAAAAAAGATTAACTCAAAGCATCAATTTAAGTACATATTCTAGCTTTGCTAATTGTAGTTAATGAGTAGAGGGACATAACATTGCATCATAAGGTAACTCATTTAAATTGGTTATTGTTTTAATATATATTTAAATTTGTTTGCATAGTTTTAGTCACCTTAAATTTAAGAACCCTATGTTCCATAAAAGTCTCAGCTTTAATTATATAAACCTAGTGAAGCTATGTTATCGTGTAGCATTTGGCATTATTTGTGGGTTAGAATAAATAACAAGTCAATTACGTAGGTTCATATAGGGTTTCTGTTTTGGTTATATTTAGTTAGATTTTAATTTATTATAAAAAATAATTAGATTAAAACAATATTTTACAGTTTTTATTATAAAATTACTAAATATGGTAATAAAATAATTATTAAATAAAAATATATTATAAAAATATAATTGTAATATTTATGATTTTAATTTATTATTATATATTTCCTTATTTAGTTTAAATAATATTAATATGTATCTTTAAATTACAAGAAACTAATAATTCATCTATAATAAATATTATTTTATATTTGATTCGATTGGTTTCTGACTATCTAAAAATAAGTTTGAAATTTTTTAAATTAAAAAAATCAAATTTAATCTGTTTTTGAATTTTTTTTTAATTTTTTAATTAACGTAGATTTGAACACCTAAGTTCATATGGTTTAACGTTTTAATTTATATTTGATTCATTGATTTCTTTTCATTTTTTAAATACAAAACATGTCTAACTTTATTTATTTATTATTTATTGTTGTGGCGATGGATGTTCACAAACAGTGTTAAGCTTTGCTTCTCGAAAAGTGTTTTCTGCCACACATTCTTGGACCCAACCATACTGTCGGGGGAGTAACGTGTGATTTTGGTGGAAAATATTTTATAGTATTACAAAGATTGTGGAGAATTTCAAAACCCAATATAAAATGGAGGAACATCATTGCCAAATCCACACTTTTCATAATGCATTACGTCATGTTCCATCTATAAAAAACTTCCACATGATTTTCCAATCAATTCAAGATCTCATTGCTTTGTTCAATCAATGCCACGAGGTCGATGGTTTTTTCAAACCGAAAACAAGTTTCTCTAAGTAAAACACAACCTCACTCATTTATTATATATTCTTTAATGGTTATGGAACCATATGAGAATAATTTCCTTACTACAATGTTTTCTTTTTTTATTTTCAATATTTATTATTTATATGTATTTTGTAAAACAATTACATGTGATTTTATTAAGTCATTTTTAATTTAATAGTTAATATATATAAAGAGAATTTTATCAACAATATTATCAAATAAAATAATATATTGATAAAAATACGTACCAAATATGTGTATAGTTGTTGAGAGAATAATATCCTTATTAATTACCATTGTTGAAAACTTTTACAAACACCAACAAGATATCTATGTGTTATCAAATTTTTAATTGAAAATAATAGGATGAGAAAAATGGAATTTAATTAAAAATACTAGGAGGAGAAAATGGAACAATCAAAACATCTCCAGAATAACTCACATAAGTTTTTTCTTGTCTTGAAAAATATAAAACAAGGATTTATTGTTGGCAAAATTTGGGTCATGTATATATACGATACATATTTAAATGTGTTAGGATCATTATTTATTAAGCAAAATAATAAAGTGATCTGACTAATTTAAAAAGATTTGGCTAAAGACATATGTCATGAAAATAAAATTGTGTAGAGATCATAAAACAATTTCTAACTTGATGAGGGGCCAAATTGGAAATACTAAAACTTAAGTAATTAACCTAATTTTGGTTATTTTAAGGGGTCATGGTCTCCTTCTGGGAGCACGTAGACAGAACGTAGTTACAGTCCCGTTCTTTTCTTTCTATCCCCATCAAGAGAGAAAATTAAGAGGGAAATACAGGTGCTCTTCAGGTGGAAGACCATAAGATCAATAGTGCTCTAAAATGGACATCGTCATTATGGCTAATTCAGGTACGCTTTCGCATTTAGTTTACAATATATTTATGAGTATGAGATTACTTTATATTTGATCGTTAGATTAAAGATCATATTTAATTATTAATTTTCCAACAATTGGTATCAGAGTCACCTCATACATGATTCATGTTTGTATTTCATAAATTAAATTTAAGAATTCAGAACCCTAATATCAAATTTTCATAAACCCTAAATTAAAATTTGGGGTTAAATATCCTGGTCGTCTCTCTGCTTGACAAGGTGAGATGCACGTAGAGAACCTCGAATCTTCCACGAGGGTTTCGATGACATGAAATATATATATATATATATATATATATATATATATATATATATATATATATATATGGTGACGTTATTGGGTTTGTTGGCATTGTAACCAATCTTGTTTGTGGAGATTTGAGTGAGGGGTTAGGCAAATTCAGTGAATGAGAAAGTGAAGGGGTTCGCAGGGCACAAATGGGTGGTGTTTGTGTGCGCGATGTGGGACATGGCATTCACAGGCACCTCTTACATGTTCAGGAGCATATCGCCGGTGATAAAGAGCAGCATGAGTTTCAACCAGAAGCAGGTGGCGCTGTTGAGCGTGGCCAAGGATTTGGGTGACAACGTTGGTCTTCTTGCTGGCAAAATCAGCCTATTTTCCCCCATTTGGGCTCTCTTTCTCGTTGGGATCTTCCAAAATGTTCTCGGTTATGGCCTTGTTTGACTTCTCATCACGCACCGCATTCGGTCTCTGCCTTTCTGGCAGTTTGAATCAGATTTAAGTGACAATAAATAAAGCCTAGGCCTGGAGCAATGTGGCCAACTGCACGAAATGGTTTTCAATTATTTGTTTACCAAGATGAGGTGAGTAAAATACTTATATCTCCTTTACATGAAGCTATGGTGGAATTATGGCAGGAGTTCTTTGTTAACCCAGAGGAGTATATAAATTTGATTTTATTATATAAATAAAATATTAATTTGTTTGGTAGTTTAATATTTTTGTGAGCAAATTGAGTCAAGAAGTTACCAAAGTAACATCTCTTGAATTGGGTAGTTCGTGAAAAATATTAAATGTTAGTGTTTGTGTATATTCATGCGAGTATTAGTCGGCCCAAAGGAAGATTAATGTTTGGCCAAATTGCATATACACTTGTAATGATAAACATGTGATAATTATAAAGATTTGCTTTGTCGATGATAAATCAATCCAAAGACTGGTTTGTTGTTGGACGTGCTTTATTGTCAATGTTTGATTATTACAACAAGATATCTCTAGTAGTTAATATTACTGTCTAAAGACTTGATATTGATGGTGCATTTGGTGTCTTGAGATGGATTAAACCATTATTTGAATATATATTTTATTTATAATTATTTATTTTTTATAATGTGAGCATAATTAATTTATTTCTCTTGTTTTTAATTTAGCTACAATTATTTCTGTATCTGCCAATTTAAATTATGTTTCGATCCTCAAAAGTATGTTTCTTATTTTGGTCTGTTCTGAAGTCAATTTAGCGTCAGTACCTAGTAACACTTGGTGGTTAGACTCAGGTGCAACTACTAACATCAGTGTTTCTATGAAGGGTTGCTTAAGCTATCGGAAGCCAATTGATTATGAAAGATGAATATATGTTGGAGATGGCAAATCGGTAGAGGTGGAAGCTATAGGGCATTTTAAATTGTTATTGAGTATTGGTTTTTATTTGGATTTGAAAGACACTTTTGTTGTGCCGTCATTTAGACGGAATTTGGTTTCAGTTTCTTATCTGGACAAATTAGGTTATTTGTGTTCATTTGGAAACAATAAGTTCAGGTTGTCTTTTAATTCAGATATTATTGGAACTGGTTCACTTTTGCCTTATGATAATCTGTATTTACTTGATAATGTGACCACCTATAATGAAACCCTCAATACAGAATCACGGGGTACTAAACGTAAAATTGATGATACTTACTCAGGAGCATTATGGCACAGGCGCTTAGGTCACATCTCTAAAAATAGAGTTGAACGACTTGTGTTAAATGGAATCTTAGAGTCCATTGACTTCACAAACTTTGATGTTTGTGTTGAATGCATTAAGGGCAAACAGACCAAAGCGAAGAGATTAGGTGCATATAGAGCTACAGACGTCTTAGAGTTGATACATACGGACATTTGTGGGCCATTTCCTACACCTTCGTGGAATGGTCAACAATACTTTATATCATTCGTAGACGATTACTCATGATATGCATACTTATTCCTTATACATGAAAAGTCACAATCTCTAGACGTGTTCAAAACATTTAAAGCTGAAGTTGAAAATCAACTCAATAAAAGAATTAAGTCTGTCAGATCTGATCGTGGTGGTGAGTACTATGGCAGATTTGACGGGTCAGGTGAACAACGTCTAGGACCTTTTGCCAGGTACCTAGAGGAGTGTGGAATTGTCCCACAGTATACCATGCCGGGATCACCTAACATGAATGGTGTAGCTGAAAGACAAAATCGAACTCTTAAAGATATGGTCAGGAGTATGATTTGTCATTCCACCTTACCAGAGTCACTATAGGGAGAGGCACTAAAGACGGCAGCGTATATTCTGAACAGAGTACCAACTAAAGCAGCGACCAAAACACCTTATGAGCTTTGGACTGGGCGACAGCCTAGTTTGAAGCATTTCCATGTGTGGGGTTGTCTAGCTGAGGCAAGGCCTTATAAGCCAAATGAAAAGAAATTGGACTCACGAACAGTAAGTAGTTATTTTATTGGTTATGCTGAAAGATCCATGGGATATAAATTTTATGATCCCACATTAAAGACAATTTTTGAGACGGGAACTGCTACGTTATTTAAGGATATTGAGTTTGGGGAGAAGAATAAAATCAAGAATTTTGTCTTGGAGGAAGAATCGGTAACAATTCCAGAACCGATTCAAATAGTTACTTTTGATAAAGTAAGTTCGGAACCTCCACAAGGCATTGTTAATGAACCCCTTACTCAAGATTATTTGGTTGTTCATGAAGAACAAACTCAAGATCCTCAAGAATCTGTGCATCATGAGCCAATAACTTTGCGGAGATCCACTAGAGAAAGAAGAAGTGCTATTTCGGATGATTACATGGTATTTCTTCAGGAACATGAGGAAAACAATGGTATGATGGAAGATGACTCAGTTAACTTCCGTCAAGCCATGCAAGGTTCTAACTCTGAAAAGTGGATTGAAGCAATGAAGGAGGAGTATAAGTCCATGAAAGACAACAAGGTTTGGGAACTTGTCCCATTACCAGAAGGTATGAGACCCATTGGTTGCAAGTAGATATTTAAGACCAAACGGGATTCTAAAGGTAATGTGGAAAGGTATAAGGCTTGTTTGGTAGCTAAGGGTTATACCCAAAAGGAAGGGATTGACTTTAAAGAGACTTTCTCTCCAGTTTCATCGAAAGACTCTTTTAGGACAATCATGACTCTTGTAGCACATTATGATTTGGAGCTTCATCAAATGGATGTCAAGACGGTGTTTCTCAATGGCAACATTGATGAGACAATTTATATGGTACAACCAGAAAATTTTGTGCAGGGAGATTCAAAGAATATGGTTTGCAAACTGACAAAATCCATTTATGGACTAAAACAAGCATCTCGTCAATGGTACTATAAATTTCATCAAGTAATTCTCTCATTTGGCTTCGAGATGAATATTGTTGATGATTGTGTATATCACAAGTTTAAGGGGAGTCAGTATATTTTCCTGATCTTGTATGTTGATGACATTCTACTTGCCACTAATGATATAGGCATATTGCACGAAACCAAGAAATTTTTATCAAAGAATTTCGAAATGAAAGATCTTGGTGATGCATCTTTTGTATTAAGAATTCGAGATACACGAGATCGATGTCGGGGTATTTTAGGATTATCACAAAGGAACTATATCGAAAAAATTCTTAAAAGGTTTGGCATGCATGAATGTAAATCCGGTGATACTCCAGTTGCTAAGGGAGACAAGTTTAGTCTCAATCAGTGCCCAAAGGGGAATTTGAAAATTGAGGAAATGCAAAAGATTCCCTATGCATCAGCTGTAGGGAGTTTGATGTACGCCCAAGTATGTACGTGTCCAGACATAGCATACATAGTTGGGGTTCTAGGCAGATATTTAAGCAATCCAGGAATGGACCATTGGAAAACAGCAAAAAGGGTCATGAGATATTTAAAGAGAACAAAAGATTACATGCTCACATACAGGAGGTCAGACCAGTTGGAGATCGCTGGGTTTTCTGACTCGGACTTTGCAAGATGTCAAGATAGTTTGAAATCCACTTCAGGTTACATTTTCATGTTAGCAGGTGGTGCTGTTTCTTGGCGCAGTGTCAAGCAAACCCTTACAGCTTCATCCACTATGGCAACAAAATTTGTAGCATGCTATGAGGCGTCGAATCATGGAATATGGCTGAGAAATTTTGTCACAGGGCTACAAATTGTGAAAAACATTGAAAGACCACTTAAGTTATATTGTGACAACAAATCAGCTGTATTGTATTCCAACAACAATAGAAGTTCGACTAAGTCAAAACACATCGACATTAAGTTCCTAGTTGTTAAGGAAAGAGTACAGAGTGGACATATTTTCATAGAACATTTAGGGACAAACTCCATGATAGCAGATCCTCTAACTAAAGGACTTCCGCCCAAGGTCTTTCATGAGCATGTTGCTCACATGGGTGTTTTACAGTTTGAGGAATTTGTGGTTTAGTGGGAGTTAGTCACTTTCATATATTTTATGTTCTATGTTTAATTTCATATATGCATACATTTATTTTTGGGTATATTTGGTTATCTATAGATATGCGGTTTTTCGTTCATTCATTACACTTTGTACATTAAGTATATTATATCAATCTCGATAAGTTAAAGTTTGGACCAGTTGAAAATAGACGTGTACAGATCACCTTCACGTAATTTTTCATGCTACACATTTCATGATGAATCCATGTCATTTGGTTATGTCAGGATGAGTAATCATTGTTGGTTTTAGTTGCGATGATGCAATGAAAAGCTGGTTTGGTTCTATATCCTGATATGATTAATGGACAAGACTTTTGGAATATGCTAAAGGAATATAATGACAATTTTGAGCTCATAAAGTCTAACACATTTGTAAGGTTGTAAGGACATATATATTTGTGACCAGTGGGAGATTGTTGGCAAAATTTGGGTCATGTATATATATGATACATATTTAAATGTGTTAGGGTCATTATTTATTAAGCCAAATAATAAAGTGATCTGACTAATTTAAAAAGGTTTGGCTAAAGGCATATGTCATGAAAATAAAATTGTGTAGAGACCATAGAACAATTTCTAATTTGATGAGAGGTCAAATTGGAAATACTAAAACTTAAGTAATTAACCTAATTTTGGTTATTTTAAGGGGTCATGGTCCCCTTCTGGGAGCACGTAGACAGAACGTAGTTACAATCCCATTCTTTTCTTTCTATCCCCATCAAGAGGGAAATACAGGTGCTCTTCAGGTGGAAGACCATAAGATCAATAGTGCTCTAAAATGGACATCATCATTATGGCTAATTCAGGTATGCTTTCGCATTTAGTTTACAACATGTTTATGAGTATGAGATTACTTTATATTTGATTGTTAGATTGAAGATCATATTTAATTATTAATTTTCCAACATTTATCATTTTTAAACAATTCATCTTTAATGGGAGTCACTTATTGAGATGTTTAACTAACGTATTAGTTATTTCAAGTAATTTTTATGGGAGGAATTCTATAAGTTATGATAAGTGCTTAATTTTTTTATTTTTTTATTTATAGTTGCTTCATCAAACAACTTAGAACATTTCTAAAAAGGAGTTGTTACCAAGAATTAATTAAGAATAAAAGTGAATTATAGGTCTCATATCTGAATTGCTTAAAAATAGAGAAAATTTCTTAGATAAACAACTCTGATCAAGTTTTAAGTAACTAATTGTATTACCCATAATAAAATATTCAATTTTATTCTTAAATAATTCTGATTAAAAATTCTATTTAGAGATGCTTTTACAAAAGTAAACAAATCAAAATAAATGAAAAAAGGGAATATGAAAGAGAATAATTTTTTTAAATTTATTAAGAAAACTTCTAATAGCATCTCCAATAAGAGTTATTAACAAGAATTGATTAAAAATAAAATTAAATATTTTATTATGAATCTCATATCATAATTGGTAAAGATTAAAGAAAGTTACTTAAAACTAACTCGCATAATAAAATATTTATATTTATTTTTAAGTAAATATGGTTAAAAACTCCTTTTAAGAAATGTTGAATCTCTATTTTTCTATTTCATTTTTAATTCTTTATATAAATTATTATTATTATATATATTAAAAAAATAGTTTTGTGGGAATAATTTTTAATTATTTATTTATTAATTAATATTTTATTAGATAAATTAAAACAATTATATTATTTATGTGTTAAAATAATTAATAATTTAACTTAATTTATTAATATTTATAATTTAAAGTATAATATTATAATATATTTACATATTTTAATATTATAGAAATATAATAGTTTAAATTATAATTTTTTATTTTAAATATACGAGTCGATCTTCTCTATTCCACTCTTAATTAGTAGGAATGATAAATTAGACGGGACAAAATAAATGAATGGGTTAAAATTATTAACTGGAATGGTTAAATTTAATCTGTTCTGTAATTTGGTTAAACTGTGGCGACGATAGAAGAAATACAGCTCAGCCACATTTTCCTTTTCCAATTTTCTTGCTATACGTTTGTGGGTTGTCAATGTTCATTTATTTTAGGGTATCATGAAGGCACATGCATGACTACGACAAACCATGCAAGCTTATTTATTGAAAGCCAATATTTGATGATATATTCAATGTCGTTTGCACAACAAAAGCCACACTCTGTAACTACTCTATTTGACTTTCATCTTTTCTGTGTTGAAAATGGTGGTTCCTCTCTTGTATCACATCTCAATCTTATCACTTTTTCATCCCCTTTCTATGGAACTAACAATACCTACCTTATAGGCTTTTCTTCTCCTCACAAATCAACCCTTTCATTTTATTTTATTTTATTTTTTGTACTTCATAATACTAAATATGTAAATCAGGTTATTGGATTTCACATTCAATGAATCTCAAATTAAATATTTGATGAGAGTTCAGATATATTAGAAATAGATTTAATTTAATTTTTATTAAGATAAGAATAATATTTATTTATAATAATATTATTTTAAACAAATACTATATTTATTTAAATATTATAATATTATTATATTTTTAGTTAATATAAATTTTTTCCTTCGTATCTCTCTTACTACGTGAAGTGAGATAAAGAATTTTATTATTTTATAATATATATTCTTTAATAATATACATATAATTTTATTATTATATAACTTTTTTTTTAAATCAGACTCTTGTAAAATTATCCTTAGCCATCATATCTCTGAGCAATGCTTAGGTCAACCCTAATTTAAGGGTGGGGCACTGTAATAATAGTCTTTTACAGTTGCATTTTTAAGAAAGTACATCCTAATGCATTATATTCACATAAATAACAACTTTAGCATATATGTCATTTATTATATATGTACACATATTCACTCGTACATAAAAAACAGCATACTTTAACAAAATTAATTAAACCAAATGAAATTAAAATTTGGCACATGAATAAATAGTAACTTTGCTTCTTCAGTACTATCACATTATTATTTGAATTATTTTTTTTAAATCTTTAAAAATGTGAAACAGCAATCATATTAGCCTCGTTCTTCTCTTTAAACAATTGTGATTAAGATTACAATATAACATTAACTCGTTTAAGTCTTTTTAAATCGCTTAATTTTAAGTTTTTTTTTTATTGCAAATTTGTCAAGTATTTATTATTTATCCCTCTTTTGTTACAGTAACTATTTTATTGACCGGATTTATTATATATTTTAAGCAAGTTAGAATATACTTAATTTAATGTTATTAAATATTTTAGTCGGATTTTTTAATATATTCACCAAATATTTGTTTTTTATTAATAACGATTAAATAGATTGATAGTGTTCCTTCACAATCTGTCCACAATGGAGAGTCTCAACACATGGTAAACCATTCTCAGTGAAAGTCATAAATTCGGTTTTTAAAATGCAGCATTGATGATAGTACCTCTGTTAGACTAATAAAATTATACTTTAATGGATAACTTAGAGGAAAAAAAGCAATGTGGTGGATGGAATTAAATGGCATAAGGACAAAGGTGACCCATAAACATAGGTTCTTCCCTCACAAATAATCATAATTATGTGCATTATTATTATTATGGTTGAGAATGCATATTAACTGAGTAGAAATGAAAATATATTTACTAATTTATAAATATAAAAAATTCATCGTAAAGTTTTGAATCATATATATATATATTAATTCATTCGTGTTTTATTCGTAAAAAAAAATCAATTATTAATAATTTTTAAATTTTTTTTAATTTATATATACATTAAGTATTTTTTTATATATAAATGTCTCTTTATTATGATGTGAGGTAGATCACCAATTTATTGAGTTTATATTGACTAAATTAAAATAATAATAAGAATATTTTTTTTTATGGATTACTGATTTATTATAGGATTGTTTTTATGTACATTTGAGTTCTTTAAGATCAAATAAAGAAAAAAATATAGAGAATAAAAAATGTCTTTTGGTGAAATATAGAAAAGAAATCACCTTAGGAAGAGAAAAAGAATATATTATTCAAAATAGTTTTGTATAGGAAAAAAAGAGGTTGTGTTGTTTTTATTATTCTGTATTTAGGTTCTTTGTTAATGTTATTTATTATCCACCGAAGAGAAAATATTAAGTTAATTGTTTGTGTTATATCATTAATTATTATTAGTAAAAAAGTTTTATTGTACTAAGTCTCCTAAGTTTTTTCTTGGTGGATGATTTTTTATTTATTGGGCTATATTCTCATTTATATGTTACTTAGTATTTTTGGAACCAATTGTCTTTTATTGAAAAAAAGAGATTCTAAAATTTTGTTTTCTTTTTTTCCAACACCATATTTGATTATAAATATTTCTTTTTTAAATATAAAAAAATAATATAAGGGATAAAAATTAAGACATACATAACAAAGATATTTAAATTTATAATTTTAAAATTTTTAATCGTGTCGAATTTAATTATATAGTTAATGAGTATGATTATTCATAAATATTTTGATAATTCTTTTATAAATTAAAGTAAAAGTCACATTAGTGACAATTTTAATTAACATGACATTTTCTAATTTATATGTTACTAAGTTCATCAAACAAACTAAAGTCTAAAGAAGAAAATTTTAACAAATCAAAATAATCTTTGTAAAAAAATATAAAGAACTAAACTGAATATCAATTACCAAAATACAATGTCGGGCTTGAAATTAAAAGTAGAATATCATAACTGGTGCATGATAGTTTTTCATAAGTTTTTTAAAGTTGCATAAAAAAAATAACATTGATTGTGTGTCCAAGCCAATTAAATGTTTGCCTTGAAGGAAAAGGCAGCACTTGCATGGTGACAGATCTTTGAAGGACATAATGATGTGGTCATCATGGAATCTGTGACCTTCAAATTTATGATGCTGGACTTCCTTAAAATCCCAAAAATATGTCCATCATATCTTTCTATCTCCAACCATATCTAATGACTATCATCTTCAATATAAATCAAAAATAAATAAAATATGTTAATTTTTTAAAAATCATTTATTTTATTTAATAATATTACATTTTTTTTACATAAATGCATAAAATAGTTTTTAACCGTTTTTATATAAAAATCATTCTTATTATGTCTTTTAGTAATGAAATATAACACGTATACATGAAAAATTTTATAACTTTTTTAATAAAAGATGAATATACTAATGCATCACTACGTATGATTGACTAGTAATGTAATTTTTTTATACTGTCATTATAAAACCATTTTTCCAATAGAAAATTTCAAGTTTCATTATTTTTTCACTGATTGTTATAAAATTCCATATCGATAATTTTTTGTAAGTGTGGGTCACTTTGTATGAAAAAGGGTGTTTAAAACTCAATGAATCCAAAAAAATAAATGACCTAATAAAACTCAATGAAGAAGGTTGAGGTGTTATAACGGGCCCATTCAAAATAGGTGGGCTCAATGTAGTTTTGACCCAATATAGTTTTGGTTGGATTCTAACCTTAGTGTATACACTTTTTCTACCCCTATAATTTCTTTATGCACCGCTATATTTATTTAAAAGGACAATACTATGTATAAAATATGTCATACTAATTATCAAAACTATTGGAACATTCAAGTTGACTTATTTGTATCATCATAAGTTGATAACTATTGCTCAATGAATAAAAAATTACTCCAAATTTTTGAGTTTTTCCCTCTTGAACGAGTTGTAATCAGCTAATAATCTAACAGCAAATCCATCATTGATATCCTCCACATAGTTCCTCAGAACCTGTGACATATCACATCACAAATTAGTTTAAACTCATGCCACAATCATTAATTTTAAGAATAAAATATGTTATTTTAATATAGTTGGAAGTGATGATTTCAAAATCTTATTTATTGAAAATTCAAGAGAAATTCTAACCGTTTGTACAATGTTTTGCAGCACTAACTGAGGAACCCAAGCGAGTAATGGAGGAAAAGCAAGGTTGAGATTGATGTCTAAATGATTCTTCATCCAATGATGGATTCCCTTTCTTTCCAAATACAAGGCTCCTTTTACATGGATGTTGAAATCTGGGGGCATGTAATCACCATTCAGATCTGGAAACTCGACCCTTCTCTATCAAACAAAAATATATGCTAATTAATCACATCGATCTCTACCCTTTTTTCAACTATCTTCCTTCATCGAAAAACTTCATTGCTTATTAATACTTACGATTTGAACCTCCAGAAATTTGGTGACATGGTGAGGAATCTCAGGTGGGTAATCATGTGCTTCAGATATGCATTTAGCTTTGATGTGTATTACTGGATCACACTTTAAGAACAGGGTTTCGATGGCTCTCATCTTAACTCTCCACTCTTCCTATATATCCATAATTCACAAATCCTTCATCATATTATTACCTAAGTTTGATAATTATCATGATTCTAAATATTGCTTAGAATAAAGATAAATATATCAAATATGAAAAATATTAAAGTTAAATTCCAAGTTGAAGAATTCCTCGAGAGTTTCAAGAGAGCAATACTTGGAATAAAATTTTATTCGATATAAGTTGATCTATGAATTGATTTTATAAGTAGATATCAAACCGATTCACCTAGGAATAAGGTTCAAAGATGTTCTTTCGTTGAATATACTTGCATAAACACCACAATGACGCGAAATCATTGCATACTCTATTAGAAAACTCTATAAATTATTACTATAATGTATTAGAAATACATATAAATAAATTTTAGAGCATATAGTATAACTGCGAAATGGGAGAACCTCGTTGAGCTGGTGGGTTGTTGATTTTTCTGGAAAGATAGATCGGATCACTCTTCCCTTGTCCTCTATATATTCATCAAAGGAAGCCTAGCAAAAATAAATCATAATTAACATTAGTTTTAAATATAGTTGAAGAAAAGTTAGAAAAGTGTTATATCACAGTTTTTTAAGCACAAAAAGACAAGAAGATACAGAGAGTTAAGGAAGAAGAAAGTGGGACCGAAGGCATGTGGTGAAGTGGAACAGAACCACTGCTTCTGTAATGAAAGGATGAAGTTCTATTCATATTCTTGCATTCCAAACTAGTCCTTGAACCAGATTCACCACCATGCTGATGCTCATGCAGTTTGAACTTCTTCAATGGAGCCAAAAACAAGGGTTGACATGGATTTTGGAGAATGCTTCCCATACTCTCTCTCTCTCTCTCTCCTTTCTGAACAAGTAAATTGGTATATATCAATATCTCTCATTAAAATGTTAGGTATAAACAATATATATAGTTTTCTTGTATAATACCAAAACTTTGCCTATGAAGTTACAGGAAGTTAATGAATTGAAAATGAGACGTGTTTCACGTACAGTTGCACATTGCATACATTTGCTGTATACGTGCATTGAAAAATGATACAATAATATAATTATAAGAGAAGGAAAAAAGTGTGGTTTGAAATAAAAAAAAACAAAACATCATTCGAAACTCCTTCAAAAGATGCTGTGATTCTTTTTATATATACAAAATAAAATAAAATATGAACATTTAAATATGGTATGATTTTTGCATGTGAAAATGGTGAAGACGAGAAGGGGATCACGCGTGACACCGTACCAAAGGTTCAGTTTGGTGGCTGACGCGGTGGCAGCACCACTTGGACCATTCTTTTAACGTCTTCTTCTTTTTCACTTCGAAAATAAACCAATTCGTCCTTCTTGATTAACGTTCCATTGCAACTCTCTACACTAAAAAAAAATTCACTGTTAAACTTTTAGAAGGATTATTATTTCTTAATTTTAATTTCAACTTTGTGTCGTGGTCGAGGGTTTAGGGTTTTTGGAGAGGATTTATTTATGAGAATCTATATTAGAAAAATACTTAAGAATGGTACGAGAGTGGATGATTCACGTGGTTACCAGTTTGATTGATTATAATTAAGTGAAAGATAATGTGTAATGAATTTTTGTGTTCAAAGTCTATTTTATACGGATTTTAGTCAAACGAGTCTTGTTAAAGGTCATTACTAGATATTTATAATTAAAAAATGCTTATGTTCGAGGGGTGGTGTACCAATATGAAAGAGAATCACACTTGAGGACGAGATTAGTAAGAATAATTGTGTTTAAAGTCTCATATTGGATAAAAATAAAAAAAGTTGAGTAAGTCATAAGTAAGAAATAACCATAACCTAATGTCTGAGTTGAAAGTAAGTAGTGTCATATTTTCTTATATAGTTGACTCATGTCCCAATTATAAGTTAACTCATGTATCATTTATAAGAATTTCTTCTGTTGTTAGCTGCTTGAAACTCCCAACAATATTATTTATCGTTTATGGGAATATTCTTGTCATTTGTTGAATTATTGACAAGCGTATCAAAATTATCAATCGCAGTATAGTATTTCAATTAAATAAAAGTCGATCCCATGAGGAACAATTTCAATGGAAATCCCCAATTATGCTTACTGCAGTAGATTAAACAGATTGAGTTTTGCAAATAAGAGTTGAATTGAAATTAAATGACAAAGAGCTATAAATTGTTGAGAAAATATCAATTAAAGGTACTTAGGATTGATTTCCTTCCTTATCCCTCTTTTGTAATGACTATGTCAATTAAGAGCGTCAATTAACCTAACAATGTTAATGTCACCTACTAAAATCATCCATGTTGATTCCTCACACATGAAATTCATAAGAAAACCTAATAAATGTTGATTCCTCACACAATTAAGATATTTTTCAGCATTAGGTTTAGGGTGTTAAGCAATTGATATATTCATTCCATTCCTAACAATTAACGTAACAAATATTCTTACCGTGATCTAGGTTTCAAGATATATTTTTCAATCATACCTCAAACATCAAGAATAAATTATTCCAAAGCATAAAAGGTAAGAATAACAACATCAAAGCATATATTAATATCTCAAAATATCACCATGATACAAAAAAGTTCAAAGGAAGTGCACCGAATCCTAAGAGAATTAAGTTAGTCACTCATGTTGGCCATTACAATGCTCTAATTGATGAAGAAGTGAAGAATTGATGAAGATTAGACGAAACTCTAACAGTAGTCATGCCTCCTCTTTTTCAAGACTGCTTGCTTTTCTCAAAACACATCTTCTCTTTTTATTGGAAAAAATTGGGCTTTTGGGCTTCGCGTCTTTCGCTCGAGCGAGAACTTTCGCTCAAGCGAAAGTAGTCTGTTTTCGCTCAAGCGACAAGATGCTCGCTTGAGCGAGTGAATTCCAGAGAAGAATAACTAACATTCGCTCAAGCGAATTTTCCTGCGCTTGAGTGACTGACTTCCAGAGAAGAATAATTAATATTCACTTGAGCGAATTTTGGCTCGCTTGAGCGAGTGAATTCCAGAAAAGAATAACTAACATTTGCTCAAGCGAGAATCCATCCCGCTTGAGCGACTTCCATGCTGAAAATCTTATTCCTTCTTCCCGTTTTACTCCAATTCTGCTGTCAATTATGCTCTTTACTCTTGTATCAAGGTATTCTTGAATTCATCCTATATTGGGAGAAAAATCATCCATGTTGATTCCTCACACATGAAATTCATAAGAAAACCTAATAAATGTTGATTCCCCACACAATTAAGTGATTTTTCAGCATTAGGTTTATGGTGTTAAGCAATTGATACATTCATTCCATTCATGACAATTAATGTAACAAATATTCTTACCGTGATCTAGGGTTCAAGATATATTTTTCAATCATACCCCAAACATCAAGAATAAATCATTCCAAAGCATAAAGGATAAGAATAACAACATCAAAGTATATATTAATATCTCAAAATATCACCATGATACAAAAGTGTTCAAAGGAAGTGCACCGAATCCTAAGAGAATGAAGTTAACCACTCATGTTGGCCATTACAATGCTCTAATTGATGAAGAAGTGAAGAATTGATGAAGATTAGACGAAACCCTAACAGTAGTCGTGCCTCCTCTTCTCCAAGACTGCTTGTTTTTCTCAAAACACATCTTCTCTTTTTATTGGAAAAAATTGGGCTTTTGGGCTCCGCGTCTTTCGCTCGAGCGAGAACTTTCGCTCAAGCGAAAGTAGCCTGTTTTCGCTCAAGCGACAACACGCTCGTTTAAGCGAGTGAATTCCAGAGAAGAATAACTGTTAAGTGGTAAAAAGTTGATATAATTATGCCTTGAATTGTTATGAAACCACTTAACTTATGTTAATTCTAATATATTTTTCTCTCAATATATGATGAATTCGAGAATACCTTGATACAAGAGTAAGGAGCATAATTTTCAACATAATTGGAGTAAAATTGAAAGAAAGAAGAGCACTTAAGCGAATAAATGATGCGAGGCCTGATCCAAATTCTCTTATAAAAAAATAAGTTGTGTTTTGAGAAAAACAAGCAGTCTTGGAGGAGAAGAGACACGACTACTGTTAGGGTTTTGTCCAATCTTCATCAATTCTTCGCTTCTTCATCAATTGGAGCATTGTAATGGCCAAAATGAGTGGCTAACTTCATTCTCTTAGGATTCGGTGCACTTCCTTTGAACTCTTTTGTATCATGGTGATATTTTGAGATATTAATCTATGCTTTGATGTTGTTATTCTTATCCTTTATGCTTTGGAATGATTTATTCTTGATTGTTTGAGGTATGATTGGAAAATATATCTTGAACTCTAGATCACGGTAAGAATATTTGTTACGTTAATTGCCAGGAATAGAATGAATGTATCAAGTGCTTAAACACCCTAACCCTAATGCTAGAAAATCTCTTAATTGTGTGAGGAATCAACATTTATTAGGTTTTCTTATGAATTTCATGTGTGAGGAATCAACATGGATGATTTGAGTAGGTGGCATCAACATTGTTAGGTTAATTGACGTTCTTAATTGATTTAGCCATTACAAAAGAGGGATAAGGAAGGAAGCCAATCCTAAGTACCTTTAATTGATATTTTCTCAACAATTTACAAGTCTTTGTCATTTAATTTCAATTCAACTCTTATTTGCAAAACCTAATCTGTTTTAATCTACTTAGTAAGTATAATTGGGAATTTCCATTGAAACTGTTTCTCGTGGGATCGACTTTTATTTAATCGAAATACTATACTCGCGATTGATAATTTGGTACGCTTGCCAATAATTCAACAAGTATTTCTAGCGTCGTTGTCGGGGAACGGTATTCTTTGAGAATTCTTTGTTTAGCTTATTGAGTATTTTATTTTTATTTCTATTATTATTATTATTATTATTATTATTATCATTATTATCATTATTATTATTATCATTATCATTATCATTATCATTATCATTATTATTATTATTATCATTATCATTATCATTATTATTATTATTATTATTATTATT